ACTGTACGTTTGACAGACTATCTTCAGGTATTTGCAATTAAATTATTGTTTGCTAAAGTATTCTATTTTCATTTGTTTACCTAATTTAACTTAATTCAATTTTCTGGAATGTCACAATTGCTATGTGTCCGGTAGGCTGGACAGGAAAGCAAGCCATGCTCCAAGCCAATCAGAAATGTTCTCCTAATATGACCTATTTTGCAAGTTTGGATTGGCTGACTCGTAAAACCGCCTAATCCAACAAATAATCTATTATGCAGTGTAACATCAAAAACCCCTTTCTGAAATTGTAGTTTACCATAAATTTACCATAAATACCATAATTCTGACTTCAACTGTATGTATATATATATATATATATATATATATATATATATATATATATATATATATATATATATATATATATATATATATATATATATATATATATATATATATATATATTGACATATACACTCACCAGCCACTTTATTAGGTACATCTTACTAGTTCTGGGTTGGACCCCATTTTGCCTTCAGAACTGCCTTAATCCTTTGTGGCATAGATTCAACAAGGTAGATTCCACAGAGATTTTGGTCCATATTGACATGCTAGCATCACACAGTTGCTGCAGATTTGTCAGCTGCACATCCATTCCACCACATGCCAAAGGTGCTCTGTTAGATTATGATCTGGTGACTGCGGAGGCCATTTGAGTACAGTGAACTCATTGTGATGTTCAGGAAACCAGTCTAAGATGATTCACTCTTTATGACATAGAGCGTTATCCTGCTAGAAGTAGCCATCAGAAGATGGGTACACTGTGGTCATAAAGGAATGGACATGGTCAGCAACAATACTCAGATAGGCTGTGGCATTGATACGATGCTCAATTGGTACTAACAGTCCCAAAATGTGACAAGAAAATATCCCCCACACCATTAAATCACCACCACCAGCCTGAACTGTAGATATAAAGTGTACCTTATAAAGTGGCCTGTGAGTGCATATATGTGTGTGGCACTAGATAAAAACTCTATTAGAACACCTACATTTTAGTAATGAGTGAAAATTGGTTATTTTCACATTGTTTAGAGCAAATTAGTTCTTCAGGTTTAAAAACAAGCTTCGAAGCAACGTCACGGACATGGGGTAAATGTGCAAATTCTGAGTGTTGAATGGCCACAAATACAAATTGACATCATTAGGTTTTCAGTGTTTTTTTTTTTTTTGTTTTTTTTTGTGCATTAATTTATGAGAAAGAACTGGTTCCATCCAAACTCTGCATGCTATTACAAATGGGTAAAAGATATAGTGAATTGAAGGAAAACAGCAAATAATATACAGTTGAAGTCAGAATTATTAGTCTCCCGTTTATTTTTTCACCAGTTTCTGTTTAACGGAGAGATTTCTTCAACACATTTCTAAACATAATAGTTTTAATAACTCATTTCTAATAGCTGATTTATTTTATCTTTGCCATGATGACAGTAAATAATATTTGACTAGATATTTTTCAAGACACTCCTATACAGCTTAAAGTGACATTTAAAGACTTAACTAGGTTAATTAGGCAGGTTAGAGTAATTAGGCAAGTTATTGTATATTGATAGTTTGTTCTGTAGACTATCGAAAAAAAAAGTAGGTTAAAGGGGCTAATAATTTTGACCTTAAACTGGTTTAAAAAAAAAAAAAAACTGCTTTTATTCTAGCCGAAATATAACAAAAAAGACTTTCTCCAGAAGAAAAAATATTATCAGACATACTGTGAAAATTTCCTTGCTCTGTTAAACATAATTTGGGAAATGTTTAAAAAAGAAAAAAATTATAAATCAAAGGGGGACTAATAATTCTGACTTCAACTGTAGATGTACAGTTTAAGGAATGCAGTGTGAAAAAATTCATTAACAGTCAAAAAACGTTTGTAGTTGTTTTAAATATGTCTCACAAGAGTTTTATTTGGTATAGAAACTATTGTTACACTGAATGACATTGTGTTGGGTGGGTTTTGTAAATCTTGTTAAAAGGCATGATGCTCATTATTTGATTTGCTCCAAAATAAAAAATAAATAAATAAAAGGACCCATATGGGTATTACATTATATAACATTTTCACACAATATTGTAAATTAAAACATTATACTAACATTATATGTTGTAATATAATAACATCCATTACCCCAAATAAAATTTGAATACCTTTAGAATATTACAAAGTATTACATTTGAAAAGCAATTAAATAATAATCATTATTATTCATTATTTTAAAGAATAATTTGGGGAGCTACATGGTTGACTTACAGTAATAATATTAGCAATTTTGTAACCACCATGCAGGAAATCAATACCTGCATATATAATCTTCGGACGGTAAAAAAGGGAAACGTTTGTACTCTTTGAATCGTCATTGTATGTCAGTACTTGCTTAAATTTATCCAAAGAAGAGTTGGTGGATTCTGATTGAAATGCTTTGCACATCTGGTCTTTTGTCAAAAGAGAGTGCTAGACATTTCACCACTCGGAACCCTGAGAAAAACTCATCGAACCACTTTTAAACATCCAGCCGTACGCTGTGGTGCACCAGATTACTCATAGTTTTGCGAATGTGCTGAGCAAACCCACTTTATCATTCTCCATGGAACCGATGCACTCAGTCTCATTCAAAAGCTAAACTAGGAACATAAGGTCTGTTTTATTAAACACTTTTGGGAGGTTTGGGAGAGAGTGGATCCATCAGCTGATAGATGGATGAAACAAACCTTTTCCATATGGCTACGGCAGCGGCTTCTTCGTGGGCTTTACTGTACACACATCATTCGGCTCTCCATTGGGAAATAACCTCACAAGAAGATCATGTTGTTACTGCTAATGACACCCATTACCACTCACACGATACATCTCTATAAATAACATTACAAAAAAATTGGTGGATTATTCGATATACTTTCAGTTAAATTAATCATAAGCCATTGGAGATAAAGGAAACATTTACCAGACATATCCAATAGAGATGGATACATGTTACTTTTCTGAAACACCTAAACTATTCTACACCGTCCCCATGATTTCGGTGAAATTCCAGAGTCTGGATCCTACGGGGGGTTGATAGCCATGATTCAAATACATCATTTACATTGGTAGATTTAATATATTTCACAAGATGAGAACTCACCGAATAAAACTCTAACAGCTGACAAAATAGAAAGTAAGAACGCAATGACCTGGAGTATAAAGTGGCTCTAGATGTCATGCAGTCTATGCCTTGATGTAACACCAAGGTCCCCGGTGTAGAAATCGTAGAGTCCTGCGAAAGGAGTTGGGAAAGGGCAGGATTTCATAGGGTCTCCTGCTGGACCGCAGCGTCCGATCCGTATATGTCCGTTCGGTTAGAAGCGAGGGTTTAAGAGTTCGACTTTGGCTGTAGCTTTAACTGGTGACAGCGAGAGAGAGAGATTAACGCTGAGATCTGAGGGTCTTTCATCGAGCCCACCTTCAGCGCTCCTTCTGCAGACGTCAACAGCGGCAAGACCTTCCTAGCAGGCGAAGTCTTCGAACACTCGGTGGTGGGTGCGGTGGTGGTGATGGTGATTCGGGAGGACGGTGTTGGCGTAAGCTCCTTCTGAATGGCTCCGGCTCATCTCACTAGAATCCTGAGTGGAACAGAGAATGTCATTTCAGATTCGGTGAAGATACTTTAACACCCATGTTCATTCCATTGTGAATAACCTGCCTGGACTAATGCTGTGACTCATTGTTTCATCTGTAGAGTGATAAAGCGAAAAGCCACTTGGGGATGAGCATTACAGTGGTTTATCAATGTTAAAACTCGGTAAACTTACTGATTTGTGAGCTTTATAGAACATCTGGTAACACTTTACTTGGGAGTGTTTATAAAATCTGTATTATTATCAAGACATAACACCTTATGAATATGAAGGAGAGTTTAGACATTTGTTATTAAGTGCCATTTGCTCAGTTATGCTATTTTAAATGCAAAGGTGACATAAGCAATGTTTCCATCCAAGGATGCAAAATAAATTTATGTGAAAAACTGGAGTATTGCATAAAAGATGTGAAAATAAAGCAGCAATTCCATCCAATGAGTCAAGAAGATCAAAATCATCACTTCCTGATTAACTGATGCCAGGGCCGGCGCGTCTATAGAGGCAACCTAGGCGGCTGCCTAGGGCGGCAGAATAGAGAGGGCGGTGTCCCCGACACTACCCTCACCACCCGCTCCCTCAGTTAGGCTATATCCATGTCTTGTGCGATAGAATAGAGAGGGCGGTGTCCCCGACACTACCCTCACCACACGTGCCCTCCATTATATCGGCGTCTAGGGCGGCAGAATAGAGAGGGTTGGGGTTGAGGGCGGCGTGACCATCCTTTGCCTAGAGCGGCAGTTCAGCTTGCTCCGACCCTGACTGGTGCCAAATATCAACAGTAAATTCATAATTTACTGCAGTAGGAGAATCTCTTTGAATCTTCATTCATTCATTAATTTTCTGCCGCTTTTCCGGGGCTGGTTCGCGGAGGCAGCAGTCTTAGGAGAGAACCCCAGACTTCCCTCTCCCCAGACAGTTCCTCTAGGTCCTCCGGGGGGATAACTAATAGTATGATAACACTAATACTAAAATGGCTTCGGCATTTTAGAAAGACCAAAACAACATTTCAGATGTTTTACAATGTGCTCAGCATGCTGGTTTGTCCATTTACACACATTTTTACCATCGCACAATCTCTTATAAGAAAAACTCTTGACTTTTTTAATAATAATTTGTTCATATCCATTGTAGTTAACATGCCTTTTTCTTATCGAATAAAGTTTATCCAACTCAGTTATGCACAGTTTTTTATGTCCATTTTCAAAAAATGTGCATTGTGTTGTTTCCATCAACCACTTTTTTTTCGCATATCTAAAATGTGCATAAAAATTGGATGGAAAGTAGATATTGTCTCAGAAGTCTTTGTCATGACAACTTGACATTATTAAGACAATATAACTTGTCATGAATCTTGTCATAAACATAATTGACATGAGAGCATTGTAATTGTGTCGTAAGTTTTATGTGTCAATAATATTTTTCTTGACCATAACAACAGTTGTACAAATCAAATTTGTTATTAAATGTCATTTAATATTAATGATTCTGTTCTAAAATATGCAGTTGAAGTCAGAATTATTAGCCTCCGTTTATTTTTTCCCCAATTTCTGTTTAACGGAGAGGTTTTTAAATAAAACACATTTCTAATAGTTTTAATAACTCATTTCTAACAACTAATTTATTTTATCTTTGCCATGATGACAGTATATAATATTTGACTAGATATTTTTTCTATACAGCTTAAAGTGACATTTAAAGGCTTAACTAGGTTAACTAGGCAGGTCAGGGTAATTAGGCAAGTTATTGTATAAAGATGTTCTGTAGACTATCGAAAAAATATATCGCTTAAAGGGGCCAATCATTTTGACCTTAAAATGGTGTTTAAAATTGAAAACTGCTTTTATTATATTTAAAACAAAACAAATAAGACTTTCTTCAGAAGAAAAAAAATATTATCAGATATACTGTGAAATTTTTTTTGCTCTGTTAAACATCATTTGGGAAAAAAAGAAAAAGAAAAAAAAAATCTAAGGGGGGCTAATATCTCTGCCTTCAACCTTACATACTGTGGTCCCTAGCTATAGCTTTTCATGGTCTCGCAGTTTCGTGTTTTTTTTTTTTTATGTGCAATTTAACATGCCTTTTTCCGCCAGCGATTGTATTCTGCCTCCTGATTAGCACATTGTGTTGTGCATTCTAATTTGGTGTGAACCATTGTCAATCAATTTCCTCCGTGCTGTGTCACCTGTACAGTACATAATTATTTCAGCTGGTCAAATTTACACTAGCAGTGTTGCTCTACAGTGCTATATTATATGTTTGCAAGTTTTCTCTCCACAATGCTGACGAAACATTCTGCACCGTTAAAGGCAGAGGAAGATGCTAACCATCGCACATAAAATTGGACTTCTGGACATGCTAAAGGAAGATAGAAGATACACGAGTATATAAACAAGAGAGAAAAGTGTCAAAACACTTACGTTAATACATTAATACCTGAGAAATTGTCTAGTTTTACAGTCTTAAAACATCTATAATATTTGTAAAAAATAAAGCGGACGTCTTTGCAGATTTCATCTTATGCAAACTATATGCAAACATATAGTATAGCACTTCAGAGCCACACTGCTAGCACTCAAAGATTTGTGTAAATTTGGCAAGCTGAATGAAATTACCTTCCAAAATTATTAAGGGACCACTGTATATAAATATGTTTTTAAATAATTTAGCTCAGAATTGATACTTTGACTAAGAAAATGAGATTTATAATGGCCTAACAAAAAAAAAAAAAACACCTTTAATTTTTAAATGATAACTAAGTGAATGACACTTAATGACTACATATAAGCATGCATAAAATCTCCATATTCATAATGTGTCATGTCATGATTATAAATGTGTCATGACAGTATTATGAACACTCTCTTCAAGTAAACTGTTACTGAATATAAACTATAGAGACAGAACATTGATTTATCTTTTAAAAAATAAATTTAAATTTAAAAATCTTGCATATATATATATATATATATATATATATATATATATACATACAGTTGAAGTCAGAATTATGGTATTTATGGTAAATTTATGGTAAACTACAATTTCAGAAAGGGGTTTTTGATGTTACACTGCATAATAGATTATTTGTTGGATTAGGCGGTTTTACGAGTCAGCCAATCCAAACTTGCAAAATAGGTCATATTAGGAGAACATTTCTGATTGGCTTGGAGCATGGCTTGCTTTCCTGTCCAGCCTACCGGACACATAGCAATTGTGACATTCCAGAAAATTGAATTAAGTTAAATTAGGTAAACAAATGAAAATAGAATACTTTAGCAAACAATAATTTAATTGCAAATACCTGAAGATAGTCTGTTCAAACGTACAGTATGATGAATATCCGTCATTATTCTTTGTACAATAAATTTTGTTTATAATGACTTTTCAGTAAACACGTAGCAGCAAAAAAAATCACCTTCAAATTTCAAATATGCTCACAGAAATGGTGTTTAGTTGGTTTAAAATAAATAAATAAATAAACAAACAAATAAATAAGTAAATAAAATAAAATATAGTATTGTATAAAAATTGTATAGAAAAAAAATCTATGACAGTAAGATTGTGCCCTGAATGTGTGTATGTTGCTGCAGAACATTATGTTTGGCCTTTTCGATTGAGCGTATGTTTTTCTTCATCTATAATTCATAGAGTTTTAGAATGTTTTCCTTTAAAACTGTGGACAGGGAATCTATATTTAGTTCATATTTTACTGTATATTACATTCATGTACAGTATTTGAGGTTATGCACTGCACTTTACTGACATAATATATAGAACATATACTGAAATAAAATAGGGTTTAAACTGATATACAGGAATGTTTGTCTACCAAATTAGGGACGGCAACTTGTAGAAAGGTTTATCTACTAATTTTTAAGTAGTATACCTGTACATATTTGAGCAAACAGAAACATTAGGATTTTAACATTAAGAATTCAGATTTATTTTCTTACAGTGACCATAAAATCAGAGCCACAATTCTCAATGCAACATTTTAACATTTTATTAAAATGTTATTAATGTTTCTATAATAATAATAATAATAATAATAATAATAATAATAATAATAATAATTATTATTATTATTATTACTATTATTATTATTATTATTGTTATTATTATTATTTATTCATTCATTCATTCATTCATTTTCTTGTTGCTTAGTCCCTTTATTAATCCGGGGTTGGCACAGCGGAATGAACCACCAACTTATCCAGCCCTTCCAGCCACAACCACTGGGAAACATCCACACACACACACACACACACACACACACATACTGATACACACACACACGCTCATACACTACAGACAATTTAGCCTACCCAATTCACCTGTACCGCATGTCTTTGGACTGTGGGGGAAACCGGAGCACCCAGAGGAAACCCACGCGAACGCAGGGTGAACATGCAAACTCCACACAAAAACTTATTATTATTATTATTATTAATATTATTATTATTATTATAACTATTATTATTATTATTATTATTATTATTATTATTATTATTATTATTATGAATGTTAATGATGCCATAGGAGTTTAATGATCGGGAACTTGGTTTATGTCTTATCTGAACTCACTTTTTCTTTTAAGTGTAATGTGTGCGCTGGGCTTTGTTATTTTGCAAATATTTTTCATGCTCAAACAGCAACATAATGTACTAAAGGGATGAAGAAAGGTTGTGCAATGTGATTAAATTACTGAAATATCACTGACATTAATATCGTAATATGTTCCAATGGTTTACGATTAATGAGCGATTTATTACAAAAGTTTCTTTGTTTGCCTGCCACTAACACACCCTCTGAAAGACCGTTCAGCACATCAAGCAAGGTAGTTACAAGTCAATACACATCTCTGAGAACAAGCTGAGTCTGCATGCTGCTTTTCTTCTCCAAAAATGTGTAACAATATTAGTATACTGAAACATGGCCAAGAAAGCAGTATGACAGAAGAAATGTTACTTTCTTTCAAGTGCTTTTGTTTACCTGATTGTTCCTAATGTTTACAGATAAAACAATACCAGTAGTGAAGTGATTGTGAAACTTATTTGATTTATATAGATATATAATAGCCCATTATTTTGAATACTATAACAATTAGATGTTATTTTCAAAATCACACAGCCTTGAAAGTTGAAATTGTAATAAAGTAAAATCTGGTTCCTTTTATGTTGCACTCCACTAATGTTACTGATACTGAAAACATCAGATTTTGATTTTAGATAACAATAGAGGTGAAAAAAAAAAATCTTTCAAATAATTTGTGGCAATCTGATTACAGTTTTGAAGACTTTTTTGATTCCAAAACCGAAATAACCTCTGCAGTGATTCAAGATAGAAACATCCTTTTCCATGGGTACGTTTCTGAAAACCATCGTTAGCCAACTAAGGTCGGAAATTTCATTGTTTTAACCATAGTTCAGGATTTGGTGTTTCCCAAATCCATAGTTCATATGATCATTCGCAAACTGCGTTGCAAATTAGTATGTTTGCAACTATACCTCTAGAGCTGTAGTTAGAAACCTAGTTCCTGGCTGTTTTATATTCCCAGTTATCCCCCTAAGCCCTATTCATTTTGAACATTCTAACATTCAAACTTGCAATGATTTAGAAAAAAAGAGCATTAAAGTCATCTGTCTTATGCAAGTATTTTTTACAGTTCAGTTTGAGCAATCTTTATATTGACAATTGCGCTCCCTTTGTAATGCACTTTAAAAGCATTTATGTAATTTTGAATGGAACCATGTCTCATGACGAAAGAAAGCTATAGGTGACTATGGAAAGCGGAATCTACATTATGTCTCCAAAGCTTGTAAAAAAAAAAAAAAAAAATATATATATATATATATATATATATATATATATATATATAAATATAATACTATATTATTAGTCCCCTTGTTTAATTTTTTAACCAATTTCTGTTTAACGGAGAGATTTTCCAACACATTTCTAAACATAATAGTTTTAATGACTCATTTCGAATAACTGATTTATTTTATCTTTGCCATGATTACAGAAAATAATATTTGACTAGATATTTTTCAAGACACTTCTATACAGCTTATAGTGACATTTAAAGGCTTAACTATGTTAATTAGGGTAACTAGGCAGGTTAGGGTAATTAGGCGAGTTATTGTGTAGCAATGGGTTGTTCTGTAGACTATTGAAAATATATAGCCTAAAAGGGCTAATATTATTTACGTTAAAATGGTGTTTAAAAAATTTAAAACTGCTTGTATTCTAGCCAAAACTA